AATATATTTTAACACGTATCGTGCTCCGCACTTCCAAAAGCAAAAATGTCAGTTTAATCTTAATAAGACTCACTGTAGAAATTGAAAACACATAGCTGTTTACATTTTATATATAAATGTAATGATTTGGTGCTTTATACTCATGCTGCCATTTATTCACGCAGATGATTTTATCTATCTATTTATCAGCTCATTGCTGCCTCCTGCTGACACACTTTTAAATTACACTCTCGTTTGAGGTCAAATGCTCCAATATCTTCCCTTCAAATGACATTGAAGAATATGAGTGTGCTTTCATTTTCTTTACAAACATTTTCTTTATTTCGGACTCCTCGGTGTACACTTATATATTATATTCTCTATGCTTGTTTGCGAAAAAAAAATGCTTTGCTTTCCATTTAAATTTAGAAGTTCAGTTACTTAGTATTGTGATTTTGGGATATTTTCAAAATGAACAAAGTATGCACTAGGTGAAATAAAATACAGGCTGTTTTTACCCTCTCAGCTTGTTTTTATTCATTTCAGCATGTTTTGATACTTCCTGTCCTTATCTTCCCCAAAGTTCCTGTAGCGCAACACTCCCAGAACCTCATCAGATAACCCAGAGATGTTCATAAACATATCAAAAGAATCAACCATTTTCTGTTGAAGAGATAGTAAGTGTTGACGATATCAAATTGAGTAATTTTAACCCACAACTACACATATGGTATATGAAGAATAAATAAATATTGTATTATACATTCATGTTCATCCAAAAATGAAGATTTCCTCACCCTTAGACCGTCCGATATGTAGATGAGTTTTTGTTTCTTCATCAGATTTGGAGATATTTAGCATCACATCACTTGCTCACCAATGGATGCTCTGTAGTGAATGGGTGCCGTGAGAATGAGAGACCAAATGATAAAAACATCACAATAATCCACAAGTAATCCACACCACTCCAGTCCATCAGTTAACATCTTATGAAGTGAAAAGCTGTGTGTCTGTAAAAAACAAATCCATCATTTAAACATTTTTTACTTCAAACTGTCACTTCCGGCCAAAATATGAGTCCATAATCCATAATAACACTTCCTCCAGTGAAAAAGTCCATCCCCTGTTGTCCTCTCACATCAAAATCCATCCATATATTTGTTTAGAACTGTTTTAGACTGTTTTTCCATGGAAACTGTGCAATGCAGATTTCTCTCTTGATTCAGGCAAGACAACTTTTTCACAGAAGAAAGCAATATTATGGATAGAGGACTCGTTATTTTAGCCAAAAGCGGTGGTTTGAAGTTAAAAATATCTTAATGATGCATTTGTTTCCTATAAACACGCAGCTTTTCACTTCACAAGATGTTAATTGATGGACTGGAGTGGTGTGAATTATTTGTGGATTATTGTGATGTTTTTATCAGGACTCTCATTCACTGCAAAGTATCCATTGGTGAAAAAGCGATGCAAAATTCTACATTTCTTTACATGTGTTCTGATGAAGAAACAAACTCATCTACATCTTGGATGGACAAAAAATATAATGGAGATCCGAAGTGGTTTGGTTACCAACATTCTATAAAATATCTTCTTTTATGTTCCACAGAAGAAAGAAACTCATACAGGTTTAGAACAACACGAGTAAATAATAATCATTATCATTTTTGGCTGAACTGTCACTTTAAGATACGTTTGACAAATGAAAATTTGTCTTGTTGATAATGTGTTGGAATATTGCAATTCATATACAAATTACAAATATTCAATCACAAATAGACGATCTAACAACAAATATATTCGATATTTAGAGCTTGTTCATTTGTGCACAAACACTGCAGGCCCCGTGCAAACCGTCTGAATCAAACCAGGTTTTGTTGTTATTTTCATGTCTCAGTTGCTGATTCTCAGATAAAAACCACAAACCAAAGCACATGGCTTGGCTCATAATGCCTAAGTATCAAGTGATAGTAAGTTCACTAAAGTGTTGGCATACTGGCACGACGCTTACTGAATGCTGGCACCATCCGTCTGCCATGTGTTTACTTACTTTGCAAGACTAATTTGTGAAGACATCTGTTACTTTGTAGGGCACGCTTGAAAGTAGGACGTCTGGGTAGCACTTATCATAAGGCAGCATTAGGTGTTGTCATCCATAGATGTTATTTAGGACAACCAATCAGATTGAACACCTCAGGGCCTCAGAAAGACTGATCTGATATCATCATTGCAAAACTGCTGTTAATCGGAAAGCCACTTGACTCAGTATGGAGAAAACAGCTCTTCACAAAAGCTCGTTTTGCCTGACCTTCTGCAAGAATGTGGGGTTAGAAGGCATAAAACAGACAAACAAAGCTAGCCATCACTAAAGCTCCTCCAAAGCCGCATGAATAAATATAGGCCTCAGTCTGATTCTCATCAACGTAGGCGTGGGGTTAAGAAGTGTGTAGTTTCACATTTAACCTCAACTTTAACTATCACATCAATGATAACTAGATAAAAAAGTTCGTCAAGACAAACGCAGAATAATAATAATAATAATAATAATAAGTTTAAATAGCATTTCAGTAAGTTGGCTTTCTCAAGCCAACTTAATAATATAAACCATACACTTCTACTTGTGTCTAAAACTGAACAATTGACTCACAACAATTATTTTAAAAGCTCTCTTGTCGCATGACTAATCTTACAGTAACTCGGTCGTTTTAGCATTACATGTCAAGTCAAGTCAAATACATTAGTGGTTTTCACAACACGTGTTGTTTCAAAGCATGTTTAAAATCATGATTTTAATGCAGGGGTGTCAAACTCAATTCCTGGAGGGCCGGAGCCCTGCAGAGTTTTGTTCCAACCCTGCTCTAACATAGAAACCTTGTAGTTTTCAAATAAGCCTGAAGGACTTGATTGGTTGGATCAGGTGTGTTTAATTAGGGTTGAATCTAAACTCTGCAGGGCTCCAGCCCTCGAGGAACTGAGTTTGACAACCCTGTTTTAATGTATAATATTTTTTAGGCCTACTTTCATGTCTTATTCACATTTAGCGACGAAATAAACAATGAAGTAGCCTAGTTGAGGTTTGCTATGTTTTGATTGACATGTATCACCCTATACAAGCATATACTGTATGTATGCGTATAAAATCGGATATACTTATAATATCCAACTTTCTTTAATGAGTTGGGAGATTATATAGGCTAGCTGCATTTAGCGACGATATAGTTGAGGTATTGCCCTACTCGAGTTTATATATATATATATATATATATATATATATATATATATATATATACTTAAATATCCAACTTTTAATAAAGATGATAGAGTTTCATTTTGTAATAATAATAACAAATCAGCCAGTTGCCAGGCTATATATCGCGCTCTTTACGCGAGTGTACGTGGATAAAGTTGGATATTATAGGCTATATATGCACATGCATGCATATAATCCATTTGCATACTTGACAGATGTTCTAATAACAGAAGTTAGTTATCCAGCAGAAGTGTGATGATATCGGTTAGTAATCGTCTGAAATGTGGCAGAGAATTTGCTTATCTGAATGCCCAAGTGTGAAAAGATTGGAGATCATGAGAGAGATCACAGATCGGATGACTGATAGACTGTCTCATCAGAAGACTGACAAAAAAAAACAGGCAGTGCAGTGACAGGGAGAGAGAGAGAGAGAGAGAGAGAAAGAGAGAGAGAGAGAGAGAGAGGTGAGCAACTGAAGCTTTCTTTCATGTGCGTGCGTGTGAAACCAGAAGCAACAACAGTCAGCGACTGCAGGTAGATTTTCAATCACTTTTACTACATTTAATACAATTACATAGTTTTCGTTAAGCAAATTGGTTTCATTTTTTCTTTTGTAGTATCTGATGTACTTTCCATACTAATTAAGTTTATAGCGCTAAAATAAAAGAAGCCCCACTATTCTCAGTAGAAGGTGAGAGTTTAGTAGCATGTAGATTAAGTTTGTTCACAGACTCTTTGTAAACAGAAATTATTTCGTTTGAATTCAGATAAATTGACAATCACAATCTGACAGTCATTTCAGTGTCCAACAATGGGCTCAGTTTAATTGCATTCACCCTGCTATGTTCAATGCTTTGTTGAATGAATTATAATTAAAAATTCACAGTGAAGTAATGCTGTGTGATAGCTGCAAGGAAAAACTGAAAAAAAAAACTTTTTACTGCATTCATAGTCACTGTCCAAGCTTCAGAAAATGTCAAATCAACATCACAATGAACACACACATAAGATCTGTCACTTTTATTAATATTTATTTGTTACAGGGTAAAGAGAACATGCATTGCTCTCCTTTCATCCTCACATTGGTTTGTTTTTCTGATATTTTGGTGAATTTTATAACTTGGGGTAAGAATTTCTACTCTGTATTTTATTTAATTATACACACACACACACACACACACATATATATATATATATATATATATATATATATATATATATAATTATATATATGTAAAATATGCATTATATATTATATGCACTATATATATATACATATTTACATACATTTATACAGTATGGGGTATGAATATATATATATATACACTGAACAAAATTATAAACGCAACACTTGTTTTTGCCCCCATTTTTCATGA